GAAGTTGGGGTGACGCATACGAAAACATTTATTAGTGACGTAGGGTATATATGGAACTCCACTTACTTATTATTAAAATCATGTGAAAATTTTGAACATTTAATAACTGAATTTTATAACAATAGGCATATTAGAGACGAAGACGATACTATTTTGAATGACTCTGATTGGAGTTTAGCTTTTAAAATTTTAAAAAAAATTGACAAGTTTTTATGATTCTACAAATATTTTGTCTGGTGTTTATTATCATACTAGTTGTATGGTCCTTGAACGTCTTTATATAGTTGTTAGGGCTTTTCATAGATATAAAAATGATTCTAATTTTAGTTCAATTATATATTCCATGGAATTAAAGTTTAGAAAATATTGAGAAGACTTGCCTAAATTATTTTCATTAGCATGCATCATGGACCTCCGATATAATTTATCGGGTACTAAATTTATAATTAATCAAATTTCAAAACCTTTAACTTTTAATGTACAACTTATAAAAATTTGGAAAAATTTTTTATGTGAAATTTATGAATTATATGCTGAACGAATAGGTACACATATTAATTGGGTACCCTCCGGCTCTATACCTACTCCTCTCACTAAGATAGCAGATGACGACGTTGAAGTTCTAATTTATTCGAAGACATTAACTCATATAGATATGATTCAACTGCAACTGTATGTGGTTCCTCTAGTACCAGTAGTAGTTTGTCTTCCACTACATGTACCCAAACGTCAAGCGCAAGTCAAAATACGTTGCCTGCTTAATTAATTGATTACTTTAATCATAATATACATAATAACAACATAATTAAGAAAAGTTCAGTAGAAGTAATTGAATTCTGACGAAGGTATGAACGCCGATAGCCAATTGTTTCTGCTATGGCAAAAGATCTACTAGCACATCCGGTTAGCACTGTAGCTTCGAAGTCTGCTTTTAGTGCAAGTAAGATGGTTCTCTCCGAGGTCAGGAGCTGACTGAAATAAGATATTTTGAAAGCATTAATATACGTGAAAGACTGGAAAGACGTTCATTTTCGACTGCAAGATAAATATGTCGAAATTGCATGTNAAAAAAAAAAAAAGTTTATCTAAAAAGGTTTACAAAAGATATATAAAAAAAAATGTTTAGAAAATGTATATCTTTTTTTTTTTTTAAAGGTTTAGAAAATGTAAAGTAAACACACACACACAAAAAAAAAAAATACCCGAACCGCGAGCCACCCACGAGCCCTGAACTCGTGGGCTTAGCCGAGCAAGGGTGTTTTGTAACGAGCCGAGCGTTACAAAACGAGCACGAGCTAGTGGGTATATGGGCCGAGCCGGATTGGCTCCGCCCATTGCCACCGCTAAGTACATCTAACATGCATAGAAAAGGTGGTGCTAAATATATAATTTTAGAAAATAAATTAAACCTTTATGTACAATTGACAAATTACATTTGAGGGACCTCCATAGTACATCTTTACTTCCCTTCAATGTCGACCATACCCCACCATATGACCCTTCTCGAAAGAGTAGATGTACTCATCAATTAGAAACAGAAACACCTCAAAAAAACAGCTCTTGCCCCTGTTATGAAATAGCCTGCCTCCATAGCAATGAGAGTTTTGAGTGGAAGCACTCGCAGAACTATGACAAAATCAAAATCTTACACACATAAACATGGTTCCCTAACAAAAATTGTAAACGTATCGGATTTTCAAAAACAAAAATGATTTATGCCTAATGGGATGTGCTGAAGTCTTCATTTTTAGGCACATTGTGCTTTTAAATGAGATGACTCAACGTGACATACCATCACCGATCGCAAACTATTGAAACTGCGTATGAATAGTACAAGAGCACTCTTTCCAATGCATGAGGAGCCATTCATTTTTCTCTCTTTTAACAACAAGGGTTATGCAAAAGTGTTTTCAAGCCATACAAAAAAGCACTCTTTTTAATGGGGTTGGATGGGTGGGGTAGGGGTGGTTTTATCTTTAGCTTTCTTTTGAAGTGGAATATCAAAAGCAAAGATCTCCTCTGCTTTTACTTTATCAGCACTCTCTTTAGGACTATTCCATGTTCTAATAAAGCACATTATATTCAGAGTTGGTCCCATTTCTATAGGCCAAATGCAGATAGAAAGAGTAAAGCACGATACAAAATAATAGAAAAGCTTCACTGGTTTGTTTCTTCCATTCAATCTATACACACAACATAATTATATATTCATCATTCCTCAAAAACACAGTAATGATTTATTAATAATCGTCATCTTTTACTTGTTCATCTACTGTTAGTCTGTTACTGCAGGCACAGGTCTCCCACTGGGAATTTCAACTCAATTACAAAATTTACTCTTCTGTGTATTACACATCAAAGTACACAATTTCTCTGTCTTCAAATTCCATGTGCACTATGCATGTAAGAGTATTTGTACTCATGCAGACTAGATTAATGTTATGGTTTCTTGTAATTGCAAAACAAATCTCCTGATCCTCACTTCCCAAAAATATTTTCTTGAATTAATGAATGTTTAGGGAAGGAACTTTTTCAAATATCACCACAGATGAATCGTTTTTCACCACTCATTTTATTTTATTACTAGATCTACTAGAAGACCTCAAACCAACTAGATATTTATCAACCAACAAATGGGTACAACTCCGCCATTTTTCCCGTAGCCAGTCCCAAACTGAACGGAGAGATTGGCATATTATATGTTATAACCCTATTATTTTTGCATATAATAAAACCATACCCGCTTTTTGCTCCCGTGGATGTAGGCCTAGTGCCGAACCACGTAAATCTGTGTTTTCTATCTTGTTTTCTTTTTGTTGATTCCATATTGTTCATCATTATTGCCACACATTACACAACAGAACGAGAGTTTCCGTAGGTTGAAAACTAATATAAAACTTTGTTATATCTGAATTCGGGTTAATTTCACAAATGGTCACTGAAGTTACTTGAAAATTTCAAAACGGTCACTGAATTTTCAGATTTTTTGGCCAACTTTGAAGCACTTTTTCGGCAATTTCCGACCACCAAATTTGCCAATTTAGGATACCGTTGGAAAGCCCACGATGTCCTCTTCAATTAACACCAAAAATCTCCACAAAACTCCAAGTGATTCGGCCGGAATAAACCAACGAAGTCGGCAACCGAAAATTGTGAAAATCTGCCCAGATTTTCAGATTTTTTGGTCAAGTTTGAGGCAATATTTCGGCAACTTCCGACCACCAAAACCTTCGATTTCGGATACCGTTGGAAAGCCCACAATGTCCTCTTCAATTATCACCAAAAATCTCCCCATAATTCCAAGGTATTCGGCCGGAATAAACCCACGAATTCAGCTACCAAAAAAGTCCGAAAATCTGCCCAGTTTGGGTAGCTGACTTCGTGGGTTTATTCTGGCCAAATCACTTGGAGTTTTGGGGAGATTTTTGATGGTAATTGAAGAGGACATTGTGGGCTTTCCAACGGTATCCGAAATCGAAGGTTTTGGTGGTCGGAAGTTGCCGAAAAATTGCCTCAAACTTGCCCAAAAAATCTGAAAATCTGGGCAGATTTTCACAATTTTCGGTTGCCGACTTCGTGGCTTTATTACGGCTGAATCACTTGGAGTTTTGGGGAGATTTTTGGTGCTAATTGAAGAGGGCATTGTGGGCTTTTCAATGGTATCCGAAATCGGCGGTTTTGGTGTTCGGAAGTTGACGAAAAATTGCCTCAAACTTGGCCAAAAAATGTGAAAATTCAGTGACCGTTTTGAAAGAAATTTCAAACGTCAGTGACCGTTTCTGAAACTTTGAAACTTCAGTGACCGTTTTGAAATTTTCAGGTGACTTCAGTGACCATTTGTGAAATTAACCCATCCGAATTCTACTGCTCATTTCTTCAATATGGTAAAAGTAAGAATTTTCTCAGAATAATATCCTACATGCAGCAATTGAGAAGCTTAACTGAATAGGGGAGTGTTACATCTTTAACTTGCAAAGTAAAATCTGAGAGTTTTGCAAGCACTAAATTTTCTACCATAACACGAACTACGGTAAATTTAACTACCACCGGTACTACTGCCTACCCATGGGGAAAAAGGTGTACAATATGCAGAATCTGCAAATATGGTCCCAAATTCTCAAATGGTATCACTTTGATGCATTGCAGTGAAAAATAACAAACACATATACTGAATCTGGCACTGCTACCTCTACAGTTCTATTGTCATTATTAATCTTTAGGCCAATGATACATGAATCCTTGTAATAGTGGCGTGCATTAATTACTTTATCCATGCTTTAATTGAATAAAACAATAACAAACTAAGCACTATTTTCAATAAATTTGGGGTCAACTACGTAAATGCTTCTCTATCATGCCGTTCAAATGCCATCTGAGTTTTGATTGTTAGTAAATTACTCAACTGTAGAAAATGAAAATCATATATAAGCAATGTGAAGCCAATTCAGCCATTCTTCATTGCTGAAAGTGCAATTTCATCATCTCTCACTCGAAGTTTCAAATTAAAGCTATCCTTTGATTAAAGTTAAGGGTATTTTTGCCATATGAATAAAGGAGGAGAAATAAAGGAAAAGATAATCAAACTTTCTTTTTCCCCTGATCTAAAATTTAAATTTATGCTATCCAACGGTTGATTTTCAATTCACTAGAAGCCTTCTTTATTTCTCTTCTGCTGTCTTGCTTTTCTTAAGTTTATCATAGACATTCATATCCTTGTAGCTCAATGAAAAACCATTTTTACCCAAAATTTGATCATCTCTCTTCTGCCATGAAAGCAAAAGGGAAAGCAAAGGGGAGAAAAGGGTAGTCTTAGCTTCTTCTTTGAACTTGAAGACCCCTCCTTAAAAATTTTAGACCAATACAAACTGCAAATTTCTTGGATACCATCGACTTTTTATTCCTTTAATGGAAACTCTATTACTGGCCAGCCTCTTAAAATGCTTTGGATGTTCGCTAAGTCCTTCCAAATTTAGCTTTCCTTGAAATATTTCAAAGAAAATATGATTTCCTTCATTTTTGTAGCAGTTGCACTCTTCTCACTTGTAAGCACTTCTACTTCTTCCTCTATCATTACCGACTTTCATGCATTAATTGCACTCAAACAAGGCTTCAAGTTCTCTAATCTGGACATAAGCACTTGGAATTCTTCCAATCCATCCTTGGTTTGTTCTTGGAGTGGAATCAAATGCTCCAATGGACGAGTAGTCTCGCTTAATGTATCAAATATGAGTCTTTATGGCTCTGTTTCACCAGCAATTTCAAGACTTGACAAGCTGATGGAACTCTCTATTGATGGAAACAACTTCGCTGGTGAAATCAAGATCGAAAATATGAGCACTCTCTGGTTTCTTAATATATCAAACAACCTTTTTAATGGGAGTTTGGATTGGAATTACTCAAGCCTTGCCAATTTGGAAGTTCTTGATGCATATAACAACAATTTCTCTGCTTACCTTCCTCTGGGGATACTAACTTTGAAGAATCTCAAGCACTTGGATTTGGGAGGAAACTATTTCTACGGAAAAATCCCAGAAAGATATGGAGATTTGACTGGTTTGGAATACCTGTCTCTTGAAGGAAATGATCTTCGAGGAAAGATACCTCGAGAATTGGGTAATCTCACTAACTTGAGACAAGTTTACTTGGGCCATATCAATATTTTTGAGGGTGGTATCCCAAGAGAATTTGGCAAGTTGGTGAATCTAATCCTCATGGATCTTTCAACCTGTGGATTGGATGGTGCAATCCCTCCTGAGTTGGGGAATTTGAAGTCACTTGATACAATGTTTCTGTACATCAATCGCCTCTCAGGTCCAATACCAAAGCAATTAGGCAACTTAACAAGCCTAAAGACTCTCGATCTTTCTGTCAATGCGCTCACTGGAGAAGTCCCATACGAGCTTATCAACCTCAGGCAGATCAAACTTCTAAAACTGTTCATGAACAGATTGCATGGGTCCATACCAAGTTACATAGCTGATTATCCAAATATTGAAGTTCTTGAACTCTGGAATAACAATTTTACAGGCACTATCCCGAAGAATCTTGGAAAAAACCAGACGCTTAAGGACCTCGATTTGTCTTCAAACAAGCTCACTGGTACGATCCCTGAAGACTTGTGTGCCTTAAAACAGCTTAGAATACTAATTCTCCATAAAAACTTTCTCTTTGGGTCACTGCCACAGGGCTTGGGCACATGTTCGAGTCTTGTTAGGGTAAGGTTGGGGCAAAACTACTTGAATGGGAGCATTCCAACCGGTTTCATATACTTACCCCGGCTGAATTTTGTTGAACTGCAGAACAATATGCTGTCTGGATCATTGTCTGAAAATGGTAATTCATCTACCAGGCCAACTAAGTTAAGCCAAATGAATCTATCAAACAATCAACTTTCTGGACCCTTGCCATTCTCTCTTTCCAATTTGTCTTCCCTCCAAATCCTTTCACTTAATGGAAACAATTTTTCCGGCTCAATCCCTTCTTCCATAGGTGAACTTCACCAAGCCCTAAAGCTTTCTCTAAATGGGAATTCTCTTGTTGGAGAAATTCCACCTGAAATAGGTAACTGTGTCCATCTTACTTATTTGGATTTTAGCAACAACTACTTGTCAGGTTCAATCCCACAAGAAATATCAAATATTCGAATCTTGAATTACCTAAACCTATCAAGAAACCACTTGAATGGAACCATACCCCCATCAATTGGTACAATATCAAGTCTCACAACAGCTGACTTTTCATTCAATGATCTCTCTGGTAAGCTACCCGAATCAGGCCAGTTCTCACTCTTCAATGCTTCTTCATTTGCTGGTAATCCCAAACTTTGTGGATCCTCATTCAACAACCCCTGCAATGCCTCTGCAATTACAAGCCCACCAAGAAAATCCCACAGTGCAATCAAGCTGGTCTTTGCCTTAGGCCTTTTAGTCTGTTCTCTAGTTTTCGTCACTGCAGCTATAATCAAGGCCAAATCATTCAACAAATACACCTCAAATTCCTGGAAAATCACCGCCTTCCAAAAGCTAGATTTCACAGTCTCTGATGTTCTTGAATGCATAAAAGATGGCAATGTAATCGGAAGAGGAGGCGCCGGAATAGTCTATCACGGCAAAACTCCAAATGGGGTCGAATTTGCTGTCAAAAAACTTCTGGGATTTGGCAACAGCCACGATCACGGCTTTAGGGCTGAAATTCGAACATTAGGTAACATCAGACATAGAAACATAGTAAAATTACTAGCATTTTGCACGAACAAGGAGACGAACCTTCTCATCTATGAATACATGAGAAATGGGAGTTTAGGTGGGGCTTTACACGGGAAGAAAGGGGAATTCCTGAGCTGGAATTTGAGATACAAAATCGCCATGGATGCGGCGAAAGGATTGTGCTATCTGCATCATGATTGCTCGCCCTTGATTGTGCATCGAGATGTAAAATCAAACAATATTTTGCTGAATTCGAGTTTCGAAGCTCACGTTGCCGATTTTGGGCTCGCCAAATTCTTGGTAGATGGTGGAGCCTCCGAGAGCATGTCCGCCATTGCAGGGTCCTATGGGTATATTGCTCCAGGTAAATTTATGCATATAAATTGAGTCTTTCTTAACATTTGTCTCGATTTATAAATTTCACATTTGTGCAGAATATGCCTACACATTGAGAGTAGACGAAAAGAGTGATGTTTACAGTTTTGGAGTAGTTGTTTTGGAGCTCATCACCGGACGACAGCCCGTTGGCAATTTTGGGGAAGGAGTCGATATTGTGCAGTGGATGAAGCTAACAACGAACTGTCAAAGAGAAAAAGTTGTTGATATAATTGATCAAAGGTTAAAACTTGTGCCTAAAAATGAAGCCATGCATTTGTTCTTTGTTGCCATGCTCTGTGTTCAAGAAAACAGCATTGAACGGCCAACCATGAGAGAGGTTGTTCAAATGTTATCAGAATTCCCTCGTTCCTCCTCGTCTTCCTTCTGTCATTACTCAGAACAACCTTGAAAAAAAAGAAAGAAAAAAAAATCTGCTTCATATAAATTCTGAATTTTGTGAGTTTTTTCTTTTTCATTTTGACATTTGACTGAGATTTAGAAGTAGGTTAATAGAGCTTGTAACTTGTTCTGACAAGATTATCGTATATTCATATTGTATCTATCAAATGAATACAAGAACATGTCTTCTGTGTTGATTTATGATTGATGTATTTAACAAGACGCTACTTTAAGAACACGAAGGAAGGTGAGGATTGTACACCCTTTTGTAATAATATTGTAAAGAACGTGTTGCTGAAATTTTTAAATAATGTATAAAAATAGTACATTGAACAATGTAAGGAAAGCATAGTGACATTTGATCCAAAAAAGGGAACGGTGTGACATACTTAACTCCTATCTGATTTAGCTATAAATCAAAATTTTAATAGGTTATGATAAAACTTGTGGATCTCACAAAATATGTAATAAAAATGAGTAAAGAAAAATAAGTTCCAAAAATTGAGGATCAAACAAAAACTTTACACATGTAGCAAATAAGATTTCGAGATTTATGTCTGCGTTTGTAAATTTTCTAGATATATTTGAGATTTATGAAATTTCTGAATTCCACTAATTGTTAATGAAATTATTCTAAAATATTATATTTAAGAATATAATATATACTAAGAGATAAATTGAACATGATAAATCACAAATTTTTATTGACGTCCTTAGTGTGAGTTCCTCAATCGCGACAATATTTTTTTCTATCCAGACTATACAAATAGTACACATATATCAGTTTACACATCAAGAAACCTGAAAATTGCTGATATAAATCAACTTGAATTGTGCACTCACTCCACGAGAATGCACCAAGGGAGATTACTTAACCATTTTGGTTCAAACCTAAGCAACTACTGTATAAATGTTGCAATCGCTTCATGAATGCAACTCTTGCGGGTTGAACCCCGACGCTTAACCAATGAATTGAGGTCCGCTCCAGAAAGACCCATTATTCTCCGAAAAAGAGAGTTCCGTATAACTCTAATAGCATTGGATTTTCCAAGTAACGGAGATTCTCCAACATTTGAGCTCTCTGGTTCCTATCTAGCACCAGGAGCATACAGTTAACATGATAACAAAAGGTCAAAAATACAAGTTAATCCAATTATGCATTGAATTACTCCCAAAACTCCCAGTGAAAAGGCAACCAATCAATCTATAAAGATAAAACAGGAGGAGAAAACAGGAAAAATCTAAACCCCAATCACCAAATGCTAAAAAGAAATGTATCAACAGAAGACATCACGAACAACAAAATGTTCCTTGGTAAATTTCACTGGTTCCTCCACTGAAGCAAGCTAATTAGTGGTCTATAAATAGAATGCATATACATCTCCTAACAACAAAGAAAAAGACTAAGGAAGCTTTGTTGTTTAATTTCCCAGGTCTTGCTTAAAGTAAGTTATTTATTGACAAATTGTAGCTATTTATTGATGTATTGTACACAATTTTTTTTTCTAGAAATACAATGAGGGAAAAACAAAAACAATGCTCTTTTTGGTGAATATATGAGACAGAAAATTCCCAGGGATGGCAATTCTGTAAAATCCATTAGACTTCAAAGCATATCCTAAAAAGATTGGAAAGAAAAGCATTATTATCTTCTAAAATTTGCCTTCATGGAGAAAGGCTTTCATCCCCTCTTCTAATAATCTAAAATGGTTGCTTTGTTCCATCCATCAGACAAAAAAAAAAATTAATCAGCATGTAGTTCATAAAGCTAACAGAAAACCCAGCTGAAGAAAGTGACTACCTTGGACTTTTGTTGATCAGTTGCAGCACCTTCATCCTCTTTCTGCAAAGGCATTTCTTTCCAGGTGTCACTAGGTACATTTCTACATGAACCTAGACGTGGCATTCTATAATGTAAACTATTTTCATCTCGAGAACCCTGTCCTGCAATTATAATGTTCTCCCTTTGTTGGCTGTACAGATTTTTGATATCTCCCAACTTTATCTCGTCCTTTTCTTCCAGTGTCTGCATCTGGTGAGTTCTCCATATTTGGTGAGGTATACTAACCAAAAGGACTTCCTCCATGTGAAACTCCCTTCACAATAGAAGATGAAAAGTAAGCATTTATTGGCAAAGAAAATAAGTACACATGATAGATTGTTTTCAACGTGATAGCATAAATCTATTAAGAACTGAAGCTGCAGTTGTTTGAAAAGACACAAATGAAATCACATCGTACACCAGAAACAAATTCTTTTCAATCTTCACAAATATGTTAACAGCTTCAGGTTTGATAAGATGTGATAAAGCAATTGGAGGAGCAAAAAAGTGTCAAACAAAATTGAAGGCAGAAACACACCTCTGCCTTGATCTCTTCTCCTGAAGAGTCATCACTGCCTTCAGTTTGTCCTTCCATCATCCAAGCAACCTCCTCTCTCTCCTGCCTTCGATGTATCATTACACATATAGCACATAGGCAGCCTTCCTTGTGCCTTTTAAGTCGGCACATACATTGAAGATAATAAAGAAAATGTCAGGAAATTAAAGTGTAGGGAAAGACTGGAATTCAACCAACATGATGCTATTACTATAATACTACAGTTGCAGTTCAATACTTCAAAATATCTGCAGAATGAATGCATCATTAGCCAAGGGAGAGAAATAAAAAGGTGTGCAAGAAAAGCTTATCCAAATGCTTGCACAACTTTTGCTGAATCTATCTTCAAAATGAAGATGAGCAAGTTTAACAAAAGCCTAATATTCTATAATGCAAAATTAATGGTCCAACTCTTCTACATGAATCCTACAATAACATACCCATGGAACTTTTTCCCCATAAGGCTCAAAGAACCACCATCACCTGGTGTATCCTCGTGACTTGAAGTAGTATCATCCTTCATTTGAGTGCCTTCAACACCTATAAATAAGGATATACACGTAAAAATAACAAAGAAAAGTATTTCAGGAAATGAAATGTGTGTGTGTGTGTGTGTGTGTTAACCACCCCTAGCTGAAGAAAAGTTGCGCTTTTTTTTTCCCCGTTTCCAGTCTCCACATAATACTAGGCTAAACAAATGGTATCATAATTTTAGTATATAGATGACAAGAAAAGCGCCAAGCAACAACCAAGCTGCACAAATGACAAATTTGTACAACAAAGAGATTACACATATGTGAGTGCAAATCTTGCTAACAAAGATATGAAGCATTTTTAACCCAGAATGCAAAGATCAAAGGTAGAGTTTCCATCCTACTTAATGCTGCTAAAAGTAGAAGACTGATAAAGAAAAGGTCCAAAATGTTCCTGATGTCTTGGTTGTGCAGATTAACAAGATTATAAGCATCTAAACTTGCTGATGCATGTCATAACTCAACATTCTACTCTTTGTTATGCAGGAAAGTAATCACAGCGATGGAGTATTAGCAAATAGAAAGAAGATTATATTAAACACACGACAAATTTGTCAGAGCTACCAATATATTTTTGCAATGTTTTTAATGTTAGGTATTATTGTTATAGATTATGACTTGAAGTAGTATCATACTCAGCCCTCATAAGAAGAGCAAAATGAAATGAGATAATGTCAAATTCTAACACAACAAAAATGAGAAATGTGAAGTCTGAAATCAAATCACAATCCACAACTAATGAAAAGCATAAACAGAAACATCACCATTTGTGTCCTGAGGTTGATCACCGAATAAACCAGCAGCTGCCCAACACTTCGTGAAGTTCTTCTTCACCCACTTCACAAGTTCCACAATATAATCACCTTTGTTATTATTCTTGTAAGTCATATTTTTCATTTTAATAATATAAAAAGGTGGCCCAAATGGGGGCTTAATCAAATATCAGACAATTGTTTGTAATACAAGTATTATATGGCATGTGGTCAATAGCTAAAATGTATTAAGGAATCTAGGATATAACACCTACCATCCAAGAATAAGCCATTTCATTAAGCCAAACCACAATATTCAGAAGCATGGGAATATCATTAAGTATTGTGTCCGTTCAGTATGTACCGAGAGAAGAAATCATATTGTGTCATAGTTGAGGAATAAAATTTAAGACTAATAACTACTTCTAACGACTCCTCAACGATTGAAGGGTATATTTTTCAACATCTCCATAAAACAAATTCTAGTAACTATCAAAAAAACCTTCCCTACAGAAGCAATACTTAAGAAAACTCGTCATGTGTCATGTTTAGACAGTACATCAAGGGAGTATGCACCAAGTAACTTATGCTTACTGGTATTCCAAGAGCAACAGGATTAACTGGAACGTTGAAGGGATCGGCTGCTTCCATTTTCATAACCTTTCTTATCACCTAAAAGAAAAAAGAAGCATCGTATAAAAGATAAGATTTGAATTTTGAGCATCTTTCCCAGAATGTTAAAATACATTTGTACCAATATTACCTCCAATGCAGCTAAGTTCTTGCTCATTGGATTTAGAATCCCGATGAAGTAACTCGGAGTCGTTATTTTCTGTCTTATCTCCCTTGACCAATTCAACATTGCTACGTGGGCTCATACTTGAAGAACCAAGCCCCCTTGATGATTTTATCTTTATTCCCACTGACTTTCTAGATGGATCCATAGAAACACCTACATTAGTTTCAGGTAAAGAGTTGGCACTGTCTTCCATCTTCTCAGTAAGAACCCCTTGCTTTTCTGAAACCACTAATTGGTTACTCATGTCAGTATCACTTTGTGTAGGTGCATCTGAAGAAGTATGCTGAGAATCTAGAGTTTTAGAAGTTTTGATCTTCACTTTTACCCGTGTATAGACTGCTTTTCCAAATGTATCCTGATATGGTTGTCCTACAGGTTCAACTTTAGCAAGTTTATCTGGTTGATCAGTTCCTGATGGAGATGGTGTCCTCTCAGCATCCATTCCGAAGTCCACATCATCATTATCAAACTCATCACGATTGTCTTTCGTACTTGAACTAACAACATTTGCAGTTATCTCATTTGTGCTGACCAATTTTTATTTTTTATGCTTTTCCTTTCTTATTTCCACGTCCACGCTTCATTTGTCCCACAAACTAAATCAATTGATAGAATGTCTTTTGTTGGTAAAGCTTCCCAAATTGGCAGCCAAGCACACCTAATCAAGCACATTGCCCACAACCGGGTAGCTAGATCTCGGTCTACACAACATCATAAGCCAGAAACCATTATAAGCCATTACAAGCAATGACATATCAACAAGCTGCTATGCAGAGCTTAATAAAGTTGTCATTAACATGAAACTTCCAGCAAGTACCTCAAAGGCTTTGAATAATTTAATCTGAAAGCATTGTTGTGTTTCTTAGAGCACGTTTAGGTGGGCTTATTTAGACCCACCCAGACATGCTCTTAGAGTTGCATGTAAAAGAAAAGTTTGATGAGAAGGAGAAACAAAAGATGACCCAAAAATTTTGATTTTGAAATATGATCATTGAACCAGAGATCATAATATACATTTGCTTGAATTTGGGCCCAGCTTGCAGCACAGAGTAATATTAATTGTTTTATCTCACAGCAAGGCGAGTAAAAACAATTCTAACATACAATCAATTGGCATACCCACGTTACTTATTTGTGCAAACTAGAACTTTAATTATCCACCCCATAAGTTCACACCATTTCTTGCATTAAAAGTTTCTATATAAATAAATTCGCACTCACAAAAATTTCACAACTTTTGTTTTCTTTTCTTTTCTCCCCAAATTTCTTTCCATTCGCTGTTTGCAAACAAATACCAAGTCAATCACAATTATAAAACTGCCGAGTTTATAATTTTACCAATGTGTGATTGAAATGTCTCCAAATGCATTTTTCAATTGAATATTTTAGATCACAATACATAATGGAAAATTCATGCAAGAACAATATTCACACAGTCCCCACTTCAATAAACCAAGAAATCAAATGAACCCCCCAAAACCAACCCTAATAAACCAATCAAAAGAATCCGAGAAAAAGAAAAGATCTATATAAATCCCCGTCTTACTAATCCAAGAAACGCATGAAACCCAAAAGAATGAACCCTAAAACCCACCATAAACGCTAAAATTACTATCATCATCACTAAATAAAGCACCATTAATTTCTTAAATACAGATCTTGCGTTACAAATTTAGATACACACAGCAAAAAAATTAAAGAAAAAAAAGGCCAGTTCGTGAACTTGAAGTTTTATTCGCATGTCACGGATGATAAAAAGCGAGGGAAAATAGTGAGAGATTAGAAATATAACAAAATATATACATAATACTAGGTTCAAGCAACGTGCAA